CAGTCAGCATTTACCACATTTCATAAATGTAACCCTGAAACTTGAAGTAGAGAACTGACTCTGACCTACAAGTAGGCACAAGAGGGCTCTCCTAAAGCAACTACTTTCTTTGCAAAGGGGTTTTAAGATGTTTCAAATCACAAGCCACTAGAGCAAATAATATGAACAAAATAAAGCCTCCCCGAGCCCTCTGACCACTTTGTATGTGTTCCATATAAGCTGTGTCTTAAAAAAAAAACACTGCTTTCAAATACTACATAAAAATACCACATAAAAATCGCATATGTATTCCTTCCTTTAACATTGTCCATATCAAATACAAACTAGCAAAAAGGTAAGCAGATTTTTTTGTAACTAAAAAATATTTTAAGAGGTCATAAACTGGGGTCCATATTCAGTTTCTTTAGACTCTCTGTATTTCCATGATGCTTTCTAAGGAGCAAAATATGTTATAAGCTTAGTGTGAAGGTAAACAGAGGAGAATTTTATGAAAGGAGCAAAAATAAGTTCCTATGTACACAGAGGAATGCTCAAATGTAAAATATATAAGAGCTTATTTTATTTTATGTATGTATGCGTTTATATCTGTTATATATGCACATACATATGAATTTGGAATTGGGTCTCTCAGAACTGCTCAGGCTGGTCTTGAACAAGGAATCTTTCTGTGTCAGCCTTGCAAACAGCTGGTATGACAGGCACACACCACCACACCCAGCAAAGACCTTATTTTAAAATACAGATTTACAAGCTGTGGTGTAGGTTAGTGGTAGACCACTTGGGTAGCACAAACAAGGTCCTATATTTGATACCCAACACTAATAAATTCTTCTAGGATTCCCCTCACACGAATGTGATTTTCAGGTGAGACTAGAAAACTATAATAAAATGTGCATCCCAAATTATTTTGAGGAAGTGATCTCACATCATACTGTGCGTGGCTGTGGTGCAGATGCTTTTCTGAGCAGCCACTTCACAGCTCCTTGATAAGACTGAGATGCTGAGTCACATACACAGTACCACAGGACAGCTAAGCAAAGTAGCTCTAAACAGTGATGATACGGTTCTTCCTTCTCCTTCCTGCAGCAAGTACTTAATATGCACCTGCCAAACATACAGCATTATGCTCAGTGCTATGGAAGAAATACTAACATAAAACTTCATCTCAACTGATGAGAACTTGCAACTTAGCAGCTGATAAGGCACAAGAGAAGAATTCACCTCTATTTAACAAGACAAGAGAAGCAGTATTACAGGAACATACTTGATTAAATGTCAGTCCACGCTGCTACATTACACACAACAGTCTTCTTCATATAGGTCATACATTACATGCGAACAAAATTCATCACTTTTCCTCCGTAACACCATGTGTATGACTGCTGACTCCACTTTCTCTACCAGCGAGTCATCCCAACTCTATCTACCTGAATTCTATTTACTTCTAAGGCCTGTGGTCAGTATCACCTATTCCACAAATTGCTCACGTGCCTTTAGGTGGAAGCTATCTCTCCTTTAGAGATATATATACATATATCTTCTGTGGTAACTGCAGCCTCAAACCCTGTATTTTGGCTCTATTTTAAACAAATATCTCCCATGTTAGAAAACAGTACTTTCCTGGATAATATCTGCTTTAGATTCAGCTTTCATAATTTCTAGAAAAGTATTCAAATAGAAGAAAATAGGTGGAATACACATAATGATTATAGAAGGTTTTTTTTTAAAAGGAAGAAAAAAAGTGAATAACTGGAGGAGTCTTAGGCACTGAACGACTGCAAATGGTTGAGACAAAGAGAAAGTGGAGCAGGCAGCCTCACTCAAACCAAGGTATGAGATTCAGGAGAATGATTCATTAGTAAGGAAGATCAAGAGAGAATGAAAAGACACTAAAAAATAACCACAAGCTGTGAATTCATAAAGACTGACTGGTTGACTGACTAGATAAACTACCATTTAAAACTGATATAGGGGCTGGAGAGGAGGCTCAGTAGTTAAGTACATTGGCTGCTCCTTGTTATTTTTACCTTAATAATCCATAATCTTACATGGCTTTTTTTCTGTAATCTGTGGCATTATACTGTTTTGATGTACATCGATAAAGAAAATCCATCCCCATATGCTATGGTAGCTGGAAAGGAAGACCTTCAAAGATCTTCTGAAAAGGTTTCATAGATTCCCCAGGTCTTCTGGCTACACCTCAACAACTATTCCTCTAAAGGTCATATTCCACTAGCCATCCTTCCTAAGCATGTGAACTAAAGTGAAGGAAGCTGATACACACTCATGAGAAAACATGAAAAATCTGCATCACCCTCAGCTCTTTCCTAACCTATAATCTTACCAGCTACCTCTGAACTCTAATCCAAACATATATGAAGCTGAAAGGCAACTCCATTTTTCTCATTATATATTTGTAAAGGGTGAAATCCTGTTAACAGTAAATCAACCTAGACTGCATCAGCCCACATTTAATGGAAAATGAACTAGTCAGTTCTCCGCACAAATGAAAATAAGTGACACAGGACAGGAAACCATTCCTATAAAGGACCAAATACTGAATGTTTGAGGCCCTTTAAAAATCTTGTAGTACTGTAGGAAATGTGGATGGAAGTACCTAGGTTCCAAAATATTTTACTTATAGAAATATGTCAGATAGGATTTGGTCCTTGGATCACAGTCAGTTGAACACTGCTTTGGACTAAACTGATCAGCCTGAAAAATATAGTGAATAGAACAAAACCACTTTAAAAAAAATCAGAAGATTTTTTTATTTAATACAAGATTTCACTCAAACATAAATTGGTAGAGCGGCTTTTCCAACCTAAGGTAACTTTGCTAAGACCTTATACTAGGCACTCCTGTGTCTTACTTCAGAAAATGGAGACAGTATGAGCTATTCTTGGGGACTCTGAAATACTAGAGGTAATTCAAAGACATAAATGCAAATAATGAGGAAATGGCAATATATTCTTATGACAAATGATCCCAGAATAATAACTTTGAAAATAGCTAAAACATATCAACATAATTTAAAGTTTATTGGTTTTGTTCTTTATTCTTCCCAGTCAATTTATAATTACACAAATTATGACATAATTTTTATTATTTCTGATTAAGGAAAAATGCCCTAACTAGGAAAAAGCCAAAATCATAGATAAAGCCAACATATTTTACTATGATAATTACTTGAGACATATTAGTTATTAATCATTTGATTATTTTGCATTTCCTCAGAAGCTACATATGTCAAACTCCAAAAATAAGATTCCTGGTTTTGGGGTTCTTTGGTTTTTTTGTTTGTTTGTTTGTTTCTTGAGATAGGATCTCACTATGCATCCCTGGCTGGACTGGGACTCACTATTACAGACAGATAAAGCTGGCCTCAAACTCACAGAGATCTGCCTACTTTTACCTCCCAAGTACTGGGATTAAAGATGTATGCCACTATGCATGACAACTTGAAAAATAAATAATTAAGCCAAAAAATTCAAAACAAATATATCTAGCATAGGATTAAACTAAGGATTTAAAAAAAAAAAATTTTTAAGACAGGGTCTCACTATGCAGCACTAGCTGCCCTGGAACCCACAGAGATGCTAAGAAGTCACAGAACTTGAGTGCTGGGGTTATAGATGTATGCTGCCACACCTAGGAAAAACAGTAAGACGAATAAGAGTATGATGGATCAATTAAATATTCAACACACTGGCAAATATTTTGAACTGTAGATGAGAAAGGGATGAGGTGATATGAAGCAATGAGGGCTTGAGAATAAACTGCTGGTGAGAATACAAATGAATGGAACATTCAACTTCATAAAAAATTGCATTATCTCAAAAAGTTCAATATTTACACCTTACAGATTAATAATTCTACTTCTAAGAATTTATACAAATTCTCAAATATGTATACTATGCTTATCAATCTGTAAATGAAAAAAGTCAAGCCATGGAAGATAAAACAACTGAGAAAATGAACTCAATTACAGGGTAAATATGGAGGACTCTCAACAGTGCTTAAAAATAATTAAATCCCTTTAGTGTCACAGCACATACTCTAAATATGAAAATGCCCAGAATTGCCCCCCACAAAAAATACGTGTAAAGGTCTACACTGTAGTAAAAATAAAGAAGAGACACAGAAACAGTAAAATTAAATTAGGTTAGTGGTGAGTGAGAGTGGTAGGTAGAAAGAAGAATGATAGAAAAAACATTTGAGAAATGGTACCCAACTTCATAAATGCTGTTAGGCACATTATTCTCTATACCCTTCAACATCTAATATTAACCATTTTTAAAGCTGTATCTAAATAATTAACTTACATTGACCTAAGATAAACAAAAACAAAAACAAGAAAACAGGTAGCATAAGTCTGCCATTCAACACTTGGGAGGTAGAGACAGGAGAATCAGAAGTTCAAGGTCATTCTTAGCTACATAGTGAGTTCATGGCCACCCTGGGTTAATGACACCCTGTGCTTAAAAACACAAAGAAAGACTAGTAAGACTAGTAAATTCTTTGAAACCAGTTCTTTTTAATCTGGCCACAATCTGAGAAAAATACACATAGAAGTCAAAGCTTTTGTTTTTATTCAACAACAATATAATATTTAAAGAGAAAAAAAGAACAAAATAATTTTTTCAAAACACCTATCTTTGAACATGGTGCGCCACCTAGTGTTCAAAAGTTCCTAACAACTATAAAAATCTCAAAGTTTGTGAAAATGAAATGTTTGAAAATATAAATTCCTATATATTACAACATGAAGTTTAATTTTACTAAATTAAACACACACAAAACTGCCATTTGAAAAAATATTTTTATTTTAAATAAGTTGCAAATATTCTTTTTATTAATTCCTTTTTAGTTTTCACTTCATTATATTTTCAGAAAGTAACTTGCCTTTCTTCTTGATTATAAGCATCTAATTTTTACATTACAGTAAAATTTAAATAAATACTTAAAATAGTAACATATACTTTCATGAAATAACTTACCTTGGAATGTGTGATTGACAAGGTATCTACCCACACTCGCCAGCCACCCCATTCATATTTGACTGCATGGTAGAGCAGGATTCTGAATATAGCATACACCATTTCTGTTATCTTTTGTTCATCTGAATTCTTAGGGTTAAAATAGCAGAGAGAAAGCATCCACTCCTGCCACACAGAGCACTGCAGCAAGCTCCTGCAAAATCACAGAGAAATACTGGATTACTGAAAAATATAAAATCACCAAAAGAATTCTAAAGAATAAATGTTTTGTGAGGTTGTGTGTGTGTGTGTGTGTGTGTGTGTGTGTGTGTGTGTGTGTGTGTGTGTGAGTGTGTGTGTGAGTGGTCTTTTTGAGGCAGGGTTTCCCTGTAACCCCAGATGGCCTGGATCTTACTATGTAGACCAGGCTGGCCTTGAACTCACAGAGATCGCCTGCCTCTGCCTCCCAAGTGCCAAAATTTAAGGCATGCACCACCACACCCAGCTATAAATGTATTTTTAAATGCCCAAACCATAGTTATCAATAATACATCCAAAACAGTTCAACACTGTAGTACTAAAGTCTCTAACTTTTGTACATTGCTTATACCCCGTTATGAAAAACAATTTTTCTAAGACAAACTGGGATCAACCAAAAGTAGGCCTTAATCCTGCGCCCCCCCCAAAAAAGTGCATTTTGAACCAGCTTACCTCCTATTTTCTCTACTGTTATTAAAAAGTTTAATCATGTCAGAAAGAAAGGCTCGGCGAACCTCCATGCTTTCTGGGCACTGGGGAGAATTTCTAAGTAGGGTTGCGATTACTTTTAGTATCTCTGTAAAACAGTTCATAAATAAGTTAAAACCGAAACACAACAAAAAAATTCATGAAGGAAGGTTAATATATTACAATCTCTTACTTTAAAATATTTTAAATTTATTGAGTACGTTAAAGCTGTAATGAAATGCTTCTTCTAAAAAATAAAATAAAATATATATATTAAAAAAATTTTAAATTTATAGAAAAGAATATGCATTCATTAGAAATCATTTATAAATAAGAAAGGGATTTGATCAAATTTGAATGTGAAAAGTAAAACTGATTACCACCCCGTCTCCCACCAATGGAACCCAGGGCCTTGGGCATAATGAAGCAAATGTTTTGAAACTGAGCTATATCCCCAATCACAGTTGAATTTTTTTAAGGTTAAAACTCTTGTTGGGGCTGGAGAGATGACTCAGTAGTTAAGAGCAGGAGCTGCTCATCCAGAGGACCTGGGTTTAGTTCCCAACAACCACATGACAGCAGTCATCCTTAACTCCAGTTCTGGGGGATCTGACGCCCTCTTCTGGCCTCCACAAGCATCGCACTCATACAGGCAAAACACATAAAATACATATTTAAAAAAAAAATACAAGTTTAAATGATAAATGAATTAAATTTATTTATCATGCCCAGCAATTATATCAAAATTTTACCCAAATAAAAATTTTGGAATTTTAGAGGCTGGAGAGATGACTCAGCGGTTAAGAGTACTGGTTACTCTTGCAGAGGACCCAGGCCCAGAACCCATATGGTAGCTAAAAACTGTCCATAACTCCACAATTTGGGGGAATTTGACATCCTTTTCTGACCTCTATGGGTGTTGCACTATACAAGTGTACTTACATATATGCAGGCAATACACTCATACAATAAGAAATAATAAACAAAAATATTAAAAAATTTTGGAATTTTAAACCAGTTCTTTGTCAAGAATTCTGGTGACTGTATATTCAAAATAAGTATGGATGGGTGTGGTGGCACACACCTTTAACCCCAACACTCTAGACACAGATCTATGAGTCTGAGGCCAGCCTGGTCTACATGGAGAGTTTCAGACCAGCCAAGGCTATGAAGTGAGAATTTTGTCTAGAAAACATGAAAATTCTATGGTTTGAATGGGTCCTCTCTAAAATGTAGGTACTGCCCATGTTGTAAAGCTAAGATTGGAGATCTTTAAGAAGTAATTAGGCCTTGAGGGCTCTCTCTCATTAGTGGAATTAATGCCTTTATTTAAAAAAAAAAAAAAAAAAAAAAAACTTCAGGTAGCTTTCAGCTAGCTTAGGTAGGTAGAACAGCCCTCAGCAGACCAAAATGAAGCAACTTCATCTTGGACACAGACTTCTGAGCATACAAAACTGTGGAAAAAAAAAATTCTATTCTTTTGATGACCAAGTCTCTGTTCCAAGTATTATGTTATAGCACCGTAAAATGGACTAAGGTGATAAACGCTCCAAAATTTTTACATTTAAATTTTTCTCTTTTCACTCTCAACAGACACAGTATCTCTCAGAAAGAAGAGGAAAATTAAACTTCAAAGCTTTGTGGTTTTAAAATTAGTACTAAGTAGGACACTACACATAGAAACACTTCACCACACAAAAACTGAATTTTAAAATTCTTCCAAATAGCTATTTTAATTTCATGATCTTAAACATAAGATGACAAATATACATCATATGCAAAGTTTGAGAATTCGAGGTTAAACAAGACTGTGCTACAATGTCAAGTTTGGCATTCTTATATGGACAGTAATTTAAAATGAAAACTGCTCCCATGGTTTAAGTTAATTTAGTCTGACATTACTACATAACATAGTCAAAACTTTGCTGCAAATCTGAAGAAAAATTGAATCAAGATCATATGAATAGGGGTTGGAAATACGGCTTAGTGGGTAAGAGCATCTATTGTTCTTCCAGAGGACTCAGTTCTCAGCACCCACGTGGTAGCTAAGACCCATCCTTAACTCCAGTTAGGGGTGGTACCAATGCCCTCTTCTGGCCTCTGTGGGCATTGAACCCATGGGGTATAGTTACATATATGCATGCAAAACACTAATACACATAAATTTTTTTTTTAATTTTAGGAGACTGGAGAGATGACTCAGCAGTTAAGAGTACTGGCTTCTTTTGTACAGCACCCACATGGTAGTTAACAATGATTGATAACTCCAGTTCTAGGGGATCCAATGCCCTCTTCTGACCTCTTCGGGCATTGCACAACATGGTGCACTTACATACATACAGGCAAAACACTCATACACATAAAAAATAAAAATTTTTTTTTTAATTTTTAGTTTTTTTAAAAGGACTAAAAAATTATCAATTTGGTATATTTGACATAAAACAAAACTATTATCATAATAGTTTTAATAAAATATTTATTTGATCAATAATATTAACTTTTGGTTTTTCACAGTCTTTATTTTTAAAGTAGAAATAATTTTAAAGTATGTAAAATACATACGAGGGTTTTGTATTTTTACTGAAGAATCAGGATCTGGATGCTGTTTATGTATCACCTGAGTACAAATCTGTTCTATAAGAATCTGCAAAAGTGAAACAATAAATTGCATTAGCATAATGACTGATTAACTCCACTATTAATGAAGTCTAAGTACAATACTAATCAAAATTTAGTATATAACAGCTGGCAGCTGGGCATGGTAGCTCTCGCCTGTAATCCCAGCACTAAAGAGGCTCAGGCAGGAGGACTACTGTGAATCTGAGGCTAATCTGCCAACACAGCTGGATGCCAAGACAGTCTAAGCTTCAATATAAGACTCCATCTCATAAAAAATAATAAAATAAATTTAGGATACAACACAATATTTTAATACTAAATACTTTAGGTAAATGTTTAAATAACTTTAACATCAAATGCTATTTTTACTTGATTATAAAATGAAATATCAAATAGTACGTTAGAGCAAACACAAAAGGGGATGACTAGACTATTTAGTAATTCATGATTAACAGGGTTCTAAAAATGTGGCCAGCCATATCATCTTTACATAAATAATTACAAAACTGGGTATATGCTAAGGAGTTGTATAAATGGATTATATGATAGATCTATTTTTAGTTCTTGTAAGAATTCGCCACACTGATTTCCATCGTGGCTGCACCAGCTTGCAATCCCACTAGCAGTGAATACAGGATCCCCTTTCCCTACATCCTCACCATCATTTGATGTCATTTGTTCTCTTGATCTTATCCATTCTGACTGGAGTAAAATGAAATCTTAGTTTTAATTTGCATTTCCCTAATTACTAAGGATGTTGAATACTTTTTCAGGTATTTCTTAGGCATTTTTATTTCTTCTTTTGAGAACTCTGTTTAGATCTGTAGCCCATTTTTTAATTAGGTCATAAATTTTCTTGATTCGTTGTTTCTTGAGTTCTTGTATATTCTGAAAATTAATCCTCTATCAGATGTGCAGCTGGCAAAGATTCTCTTCCACTCTGTGGGTTTCCTCTTCACTAGACTGGCGGTTTCCTTTGCTCCTGGGAAACTTAATGTTCTTATTTTATCCAATATTGACAATTATACAGACACCCTTACAATAAGAAATTATTAAGTAAATTCCAACTACATTCCTACCTCAAATAGAACATTGTAAGTGGTCATTGTGATTAGATTTGTCTGAAGCATAAGTCTCTCGGCTAGCAACGAAAACAATCCATGCCCGAGCATGACTTCAGCTTTTCTCCTAAAAACAACATGAAAGAAGTTACTAAAGAAAGAAAACGAATTCCAACTCAATTACTCTCATAATATTTTTCAACTTAGAATGTTTAAGGCTGCAAAACCTTTAAGTACAATATAAGCAAAGCTAAAGTTTAAGAGATAAAAAAGAAGATAGGCTATGCTACGGCCTAGCAAAAGCTTCACTGAATTCTTGAGAGCGATTATTTGCTGTTACTATTTGCCAGCACAGAGAAAGCTACGCCCTGCTGGGGATGATCACGTAAGCCACAGTAAGTGCTTCAGAAAATCAACATGGTGAAGAGAAATTTAAGTAATTTAAGAAACTGAATACTATAGAAATTTATGTACTAAAATTAACATTTCAAGCACAAACTTTTAAACTAGAGGATAACAAACTTTAATTCTACTCCTGGGGTCAGCAAATGTTTTCTCGCTAGTAAATATTTAAGACCTTGAGGACCATATGGTCTCTGTTACATCTCAGCACTGCCTTTATATCATGAAAACAGCCATGGGTAATATGCAAATAAATTACTGTAGCTGTGATGTAATAAAACTTTATTTACCGGTGGCCAACTAGACTCTGAAAGACTGCACTTGTCTACAGAACCTTGTTCTACCTCCAAACCTTTAAGTTTTATAATGAAGCATTATGCAGCTACTATAGAATAGATACACTATGGCTGTCGACATTCAGCTGGAAAAATAAGCTGTGTCCCATTTGGATTACTGTATGAACTTACAGTACAGATAGTGCAAGGGTGATTTAGTTAAACAAAATGAAGGCTTCAATTTTGATAGTTCTAGATTTTAATGTTTTCACAGTAATTCTCACAGAAACCCAAACATATAAATAAGTAATTTTCATATTAAAATCTGTATACTCTGGTCTAGTTTTATCTTTAAAGTGTGTGATTAAAGTATGGGATTAAACTTATATAGCATCTTACAAATAAAAATTGCCTGGTGTGGTGTTGTATATCTTTAATACCTACACTGGGAGGCAGAAGGAGGCGGATCTATGAAATAGTGGTCAGCCTGCTCTATATAGCAAGCTCTAGGCCAGCTGGGACTACAGGGAGATGCTGTCTCAAAAAATAAAAATAAAAATAAAAAAAATAAATTAAGTACTCGACACAAGAGAGAAAGCAAAGGGACCACAGAACAGAAATACTATTACAAAGGCTTAAGTAAGTAAGTAACAAATAGCCGTTCATTTTATACTTCATGCATACTTACTTTGGGGCCAGATGTTTTAAGAAATAGCCCAGTGCTTTGAGCGCCTGTACTCTGATTCCTTCACTTTTCGATGCCAAAAGTTTATATATAACACTAAATAGAAATTAAGAACCAATTAGTCTAAATATAAGTTTTAAAAGATTTACTATATACATTTTTCATATTATTACACACTTACTTCAAATAATATCTAAGTGAGTTTAATGCACATTTCTGACATTTAAAACTTGCTTATCTCGGGCTATAGATATTTTTAGTGAAAAGAAGTGATAAAAAACTAAGAATTCAAAAGACTATGGTGACTTTTCCATATATGCACATTTTACCACATAACCCTGGTTTTCAGACACCTTTTTTAAAAAAGATTTTTATTATTTTTAAATTATGTAATATGTGTCTATGTGTGGGTATGTATACATAAGTGCAGGTGTCTGTGGAGTTCAGAAGTGGGCACTGAATCTTCTGGAGCTGGAGTTACAGGCAGCTGTGAGCCACCCAACATGAGTGCTGAGAACTGACCTCAGGTCCTCTGGAAGAGAACCAAATACTCTTAACCACTGAGCCATTTCTTTAGCCTCTCACACATCTTTTTTCTCTACTATAAGGTTATTAATGTCCTTTGAAAGTTACCAACTATTTATTTTTAAGTCAGCATAAATAAAATACTGTTTAATGGCAGCACATATTTAAACTTATGAATAATATTACCATAAAAAAACAAATATAAATAGTAACTATGATTTTCTAAAACTAATTAATTACCAGGTATGCTGGCACATGCCTAAAATCCCTGCACTCAGGAAACTGAGGCAGAAGAGCACCATGAGTTTGAGGCTCACCTGACATATACAATGAATTCAAGAACAGTCTGGCCCACACAGAGAGATCAGCATAAGGAGCAAACCCATGCATAGTACTGTAAATCTGGTCAGAAATATACAGTTGGGGAAGACATGGAAGGCATGTACCCTTAATGGGGAACTTACTACTGCTGTACAATTAAGGTCACATAGTGTCAAAATGCCTTCTATCTGTTTACACACAGACAGAGGCTACTCTCAGCCTTACTAAAAGAAGCTTGTCTTTGCAGGGAAAGGTGGCGAATGCAGAGATTCAAGGCCACTGAAGGTGCTGAGAACAAGTAGCTGTTAAGTGTTAAGCCCAAGCAAGACATTTATACTACATTCTCTAAGGCTCAGGGAACATCACAGAAGGGGCCAAAAAAATGTAAGAATGGGAAGACAGGGAGAAGGATAGGAAATGCCATCGTTTGGGCATGACACAGTCATTGTAATCTTGAACTCACAGGAGCTTTGACATATTCAAAGTGAAATCCAAATGACTACTTATAGCATCCTTTTACATGTAACTACTTATAACAAAGACAAAAATTGGAAAATTTATGATTATTTAAAAAATTAAGGTAGTACTGGGCATTTTGGTGTATGCCTTTAATCCCAGTACTGAGGAGGAGATGCAGAAGGACCTCTGAGTTTGAGGCCAGCCTGATCTACATATCGAGTTATAAGCCAAACAGGGCTAAATAATGAGATAGTGT